ACCATTTTCAACCAAAAATTGGTCCATCTCCCCGGATGACATTCGGATTGGAACTATTAAATAGGTAAATCCGATTGTGATTCGACTCTTCGACGTAATTGATACTGAACCTTATTGTGGCATACTTGGGTTGATGTCGACTATTTATACTGTTAGTTGTCGACTTGTAAATACTACTTAATATTGATGTATTTTCCGCATCGCATACAGCCGTTTACAAGATCGATTTTATATGTTTATTACTAAGAAACATTCTTATTAATCGCATCGACTTTTAGACAGCTGTCGCATTTAATTTACTTAATCGCATTTAATATTGTTATCATATCGCTCCGTAAATATTTGAATCGGTTCGATTTAATTTACCTAGTGGGTAGAAATAACCGCCGCGCCTCGCCGCCAGCCATTGTGCAGTTTATCTAAGTACCGTATCGCACCTTTTTCTTAGTTTGGTACATACACGTATGCAGCGCATTACATATATTAAAACTGATTTGAATTTCTAGTGGAGTTCGCAAACTTTGTATACTATAAATACAGTTAAATTACTTAAATACTTATTAACTAACCTGCTCATTTATATTTCTTCAATCACGCATGAAAATTTATTTACATTTAATTCGTAAAAACAAGGATAATTTACTCACTTTGGGGTAATATAATCGTGTTCTAATAAATATATTTACAATGACGGAAAAGGGTGCAGGAAAAGATAGACGCCTTATGCAAATTAAATTGTTAGAAGCTAAGCGTCAATTGTATTTCTCTCAAATAAATAAGACCTTTCAACTATCATCGAAAACAGATGAAAAATCACGGCATAATTTCTTATCACAAGCTCGCGCCGTCGATCAATTACGTAAAGAGTTTGTAACTTTGGTTGATGATATAAATTTATTAAATTTGGAAGTAGATCCCGATTATAGTATTAATTACCAGCCGTTATCAGCTTTTGACGACTTATATTACTTTATTAAAGATATCCTGAATAGTATGGAGAGACCAAACCCACAATCGCAAGCCGTCACACATGCAATTAATCAGGAACATACTATTAAGATTCCTCGTATTGAATTGCCTATTTTCGATGGTGAATTACAAAACTTTCCTTATTTTTACGAAACGTTTAAACGTGTTATACACGAAAATAAAACGTTAACGGATTCGGAACGTATTCACTATTTAATGAGCCACCTTTCCGGAAAAGCAAAACATATATGTGCTGGTATAATCCCGGCGGCAGATAATTACGTAATTATTTGGCAAACTTTACAAGACAAATACAAGGATAACAGAGCTTTAGCTACGACATATCTAAATCAGTTATTTGCATTAAAGAATATTAACGGTCCCTCTGCAATAAATTTAGAAAATTTGGTAGATAAATACGCGGCCACGATCGCAGTACTCAAACAACTTAATATAGATAATTTAAGTGACTTTATTTTTGTTTACATGGGCCTAAAGCTTGTAGATTCCGATACTGCGAAGTGTTTCGAAACAACAGTTCGTAGTCAAACGGACATGCCTAAATACGACGATTTTGTTAAGTTCTTACGAGAACAGGTAAAAATTTTGTATCGAACCAGCACTTCATCACAAACTCGTGGCAGTTCCATGGCACCGCATCCCAACTCTGGTAGTCGCCCATCTAGCTCACGGGCTTTAACCGTGCCGCCACGCGTCTTAGTCTCCACGCAGCAGACCCAAGGTCGTACTAGGCCATGTAAGCTTTGCAACAACACGGCGCATACGCATCTCTATGCATGTAAACCCTTTGCTAACCTTTCGGCTGCCGACAAATTTAAATTCGTTAAGGACAATCGTTACTGCGTTAATTGTTTGAGTAACCAACATACCTCTTTTTATTGCAACTCAAACACTTCTTGTCGCAAGTGTAATGCCAGGCATCACACGTTGCTTCATTTTGGAAATGAACCATTTGCGGCGCAGTCTTGCACCGCCACTGTAGCCATGAACGAGGAACATGATACTAGTGAAATACTGAGCTCACTAGAACTTGAAGAAGAGTCCTCCTCCGATCAAGTGCGTGACGGTTATTTGGTTGGAGAAGGAAATCCAGAAGTGTCGTATTGCTCGTTGTCTTCTACAAAATGCGATTCATCATCAACAACGCAAGTTCTCGCAACCGCAAAGGTTTATGCCACCGGTCGCGATGGTTGCGATGTAATAGTTAGATGTTTACTGGATCCTGGTTCCCAGAAACATTATATAACAACAAAATGTTGTTCAAAACTACAGCTAAAGGTCGAATCTAATTCGCCTGTAACGGTGAAGGGAATAGGTGGCTCATCACAGATAGTCAAGGGGGCGGCAAATATTTCTTTTCGATCTCGATTCAATAATACAAAATTTAATATTCAGGCTCTAGTGTTAAATCGAATCACTAGTAATATACCAACGTGTAATATCGATACTAGATTCCTTGAAAATCTACGTAGTATTCCCATGGCGGACGATGGCTGGGGTATGCCAGGAGAAATAGATTTATTAATCGGTGTTAGTCTTTTTGCAGAGATGCTACGACCTGGTAAAATTATCGGGGAACCCGGTTCTCCGGATGCGCTTGAGACCGTTTTAGGATACATCGTTCTAGGAGATGCTCCAGCGGTTATCCAGGCTCAAGCCCCAGCAGTCGTAGCTTTCATGCTATTTCAAAATCTGAGGTCGAGACTCTAGTTAGGAAAATGTGGGAACTCGACGAAATTGATCCTAAGCATATCTTTAGTGCTGATGATAAAATATGCGAAGAAAATTATAGCAAGACTGTCACGCGTGCTACTTCCGGACGCTACGAAGTAGCATTACCTTTCAAATTCAGTCCAGATGTTCTTGGTAATTCTTTGGAAGTTGCTGGGCGTAGATTTTTGCATTTAGAGCGTAGGTTTACTGCTCAGCCCGCTCTAAGAGAGGCGTACGATAGTGTAATCAAGGATTATATATATCAAGGTTATTTGTCTCCTATTGATACAGCCGATAAAGATCCTCTGCACTTTTACATTGCCCACCACGCTGTTCTTAGGGAAGATAAATTATCGACACGGATTCGACCTGTCCTGGATGCAAGTGCTAAGTCTAGTAGCGGATTTTCTTTAAATGATCTTTTATATGCCGGTCCCAATCTTCAACGCGACCTTTTTACAATCCTAATGAATATGAGACTATTACCTGTTGCCATCACAGCTGACGTGAGGCAGATGTATCTTAGGATAGGCGTCCGTAAGCAGGATCGACGTTTTCAGCGTATCTTATATCGCTTCAGTCGGAATGACAATTTAGGAGGTGGTTCAGATATTCAAATTCCAATAAAATCATTAGAATTCAATAGAGTAGCCTTTGGACTAAAGTGTAGCCCATTTTTAGCTCTTCGCACTGTCTCGCAACTAGTACAGGATGAGGGTCACCATTTTCCTATAGGTAAAGAAGTCGTGCAGAGAGATCTTTACATGGACGATATAGCTAGCTCACTGATGAATTCCGATCGAGCTATTTCTGCCTTTCAAGAGTTAATCGGGCTATTTAAGGCTGGGGGCTTCGATCTAGTCAAATGGAGTAGCAATAGCACAAGGGTACTTGAATATATTCCTGAAGATTATCGCTTGTCGCAAAATGTCGAATTTCACAAGGACGATACCTTGAAAATATTAGGTCTTTACTGGCGTCCTCATGATGATGAGTTCGCCTTCAAGGTAATTTCAGATGATCGCCCTTGCACTAAGAGAAACATTTTGTCCTCTGTCGCACGTTGTCGCACAAGGAGCTTTGGATTGCTAAAATAGACTGGGACGCTGATCCCCCACAACGAATTACACGACTGTGGAATGAATTCCGACGGGAACTTCCCCTGCTTGCCCAGATGAAATTTCCTCGGCACCTTGGAGTGGTTCATGGCTGTTCGGTGACAATTCTGGGTTTCGCTGACGCGAGTGAAAAGGCTTATGGCGCCGCAGTTTATATTCGAGTAGACGTCAAACAAATTCAGACAACTGTCATTTTGTCATGCGCAAAGTCAAAGGTTGCGCCCTTGAAGGTTGTTTCATTAGCACGTCTGGAATTATGTGCAGCCTTGTTGCTTTCTAAATTAATAAAAAAGGTTTTTGAAATATATTCGAGTAGATACCAAATTGATTCGGTGTTAGCATTTTCAGACTCGACCGTAGTGTTAAATTGGATTCACTCTTCTCCGCACCGATGGCACACGTTTGTTGCCAATAGAGTCTCCAAAATCCAGGACAACTTACCATCGGATCACTTTTACCACATCAAGGGTAACGAAAACCCGTGCGATTGTTTGTCCCGTGGATTAACTCCTACACAACTTATGAATCACCCCCTGTGGCTACAGGGGCCTCCTTGGGCCCATTTACAAAAAAACCGAATGGCCAATAAAAACATTTGTGCCAAAGGAATCTTCCGACGCGCCGGAGCTTAAGTCTATTTCCCCAGTAATAATAAAACCAATCGAAGAACCTTTTCTTTATAAGCTAGCACGTAATTACTCTTGGTGGCAACGGTTCCTTAACGTGGCAAGCTACATATACAAGTTTATAAGGAAGCTACCTCTGGGACCCATAGTTGAGTCAGATTTGGAATTTACGGAATTAGAAATTATGAAGGTAATACAGTCAATACATTTTAGTGATGACCTTCAACGTTTAGAGAAAGGGGGATGTCGTTCTCCATCTATTAAAAAATTAAACCCATTTCTTAAGGATGGCGTATTACGCGTAGGTGGCCGTTTGGCAAACTCAGAGGAGAGTTTTGATTTTAAACATCCTATTCTCCTTCCTTGTAAGGATCATGTGGTAGACTTGCTCATACGCTCATACCACTGCAAATATTTACATACAGGACCAGGGTTGCTATGTTCTGTACTCCGTGTTAAATACTGGATACTATCTGCTAGACGTGCAATTAGAGCCATTATATCTAAATGCAACGTATGTTTTCGATCTAAGCCTCAACCTGGGTTCCCTATGATGGCCGACCTCCCTGAACCTCGAGTGAGAGCGGTTGTCAAAGCCTTCGTCCATACTGGATGCGATTATGCCGGCCCAGTCCTAGTAACACCATATCGTGGTAAGGGTATAAAAAGCCGTAAGGCTTACATCTGCCTGTTTACATGCCTTACTACACGAGCGGTGCATATTGAGCTCGCAAGCGATCTCAGCACAGCTTGCTTCTTGGCAGCCATGAAACGATTCCTAGCTAGACGGGGATCGGTTCCATGTTTTTATACCGATAACGGAACTAATTTTATTGGTGCCCGATCTTATCTTCGCGATTTGTACGCTTTTCTAAAGAATGAATATAAACCAGTGTGGGAAAAGCAGTTAGCAGAAAGTCGTATCCAATGGAAACTGATTCCTCCTAATGCTCCACACTTCGGTGGTTGCTGGGAAAGTAACATCAAGTGCATAAAAACCCATTTATATAGGGTCATCGGCCAACAAATTCTAACCTTTGAGGAGCTTCAAACAGTTTTAAGCCAGATTGAATCCATATTGAATTCACGACCACTTACAGTTCTCAGCTCTGATCCTTCAGATCCAGCAGCTTTGACGCCAGCTCATTTTTTACATACCGTCCCGCTTGATTTCCTGTCAGCACCTGATATCGATGATTCGATTCCGCATCTTCTAACTCGATATGAACTCTTAGACAAGTTGGTACAGTCATTCTGGATGCGATGGAAGAGAGAATATCTTCATAGCCTACAAGCCCGCCAGAAGTGGAACTCACCATCCTTCCCAGTTAAGGAAGGAACGGTTGTTGTAGTAATACAGGATAACGTCACGCCCTTACATTGGCCCTTAGGCATTATAACACAAACCTTTAAAGGTAAGGACGACGTTATACGTGTAGCAATGGTAAGGACTAAGCACGGTACTTACCAAAGACCAGTGGTTAAATTGTGTCCATTACCAACTCAGTAAAATTCACAAATTATTTAGGTAAAGGGTAGATTAGCCTCTAGATAATAAGTCATAGACAAGTTAGTGGGATTAAGTAGATATAAGTAGTTAACAAACATTCTTTAGTATGTTGTAATAAGGTTCATGGAAGTGAGAATAAATTAATTTGGTCGATAAAGATGATTACACCTTTGAAAGCTTCCCTTTCAAGGCCGGGAGGAATGGTTCGGCTACTTTAATAAGCAGCCGAAATTTCTTTGTTTATTTTGCTCTGAATACTCGCAACTGTTACACCAATGTTACTTTGGTTTGGATGTCCGTGTATTTCGCGGGTCGATGTGATTCTTGCGTACTATTGGTCCGTTAAAATTATGGACATCTTCCCGTCACGTGATCACATACTGTCAACGCCGCGCGTCGTGAGAAATGGCACGTTTTTTCGGTGCTCCCTAATATATGTTCCGTCGCAAGGTATTCCTCGAATTGGATAATCGTGAGTGACCAACATCCGTGTAGCTGGGATCCCCGAAGAAGCGCACGAGAGCAGGAGCATCCGCCTTCGTATATTCAGGTACGTCCGACCTTAGTAATATTGTCTAGTTAACGGTATCGAGTAGAATCAGCCAGTGTCTATGCAAATTACAGTCCATTTACCATTTTCAACCACAAACAAACGCTCTCTGCCATCAAATTGTTTAATTCTTATCGAACACTATGGTCGGGATCGACCGGGGAATCGAACCCGGAACCGCGCTCTACTACCAGTTTGTACACGCCCCTAGCTGCCCCAATCAAGGATGACGGGATTAGGGCCCATGAGTAATCCCATCGACGAGCAGCAGAGGGACGGGGCCAGAATATGGCCACGTGGAATTTCCTAATTATAATAAACAATATGGGAGGAAGCTAGAAACACATAGTACTTACCATCATCCGAAGCTAACTTCGCACCAAGGCTTGGGCAGGCCGTGAGTGTGTGTAATAGTGGATGGCGAGTAGTGTACAGTGAGGTGCGAATGTGTGGGGCCTTGTCAAGCATAGGCGACCAGCAGCGGCCGAGTTCCAGGCTGCTCCAAAATGCTGCAAAGCTTCAGTCCATTAACTCTATCGTACGATTAATTAACTTACAGAAGTCACTAACTCTCGTTTGTTATAAGGTTAACGCACAAAACGAACACGGAGTGTCCGGATCAAAGGTCACTACCGTTTCGCGTAGCAACAGTTATTTCTAGAATATCAAAGGCTGCACTAGCTAATATAGTCGAATGCACTTATACAGATTTTGAGTCGGACCCAATAAGTCCCGGGAAAGGCTATCCAACAAGGAATTCGCGTTATAAATCCTAGACAGGATGTTTACTAAACGTCTAAACTATTCCGCGGTTCCCGAACAAAAAATGACAGTGTGCTAGCGTTAGCACAGCTGGCAGACGACTGACTTGCACTCGCGCGCGCTCGACACATCCAACTGTCAAACCGGTATGGCACCGAGCCGCGCGCCCCCTAGATGTCGATTCCGACAACAGCGTTTGGCGCGAACAGTAACGATTACTATTTTTTACATGTTGTACGTGGTAGAGTCATGCTGCAGCTATATTACTGGTATAGTTGTAGCACGAATGGGTCGGCACGACCGGGGGGGGGGGGGGGAGACCACGCTCTCAGAGAATACCAGCGTAAAATAGCAGCTTAATGCGCAGCTGAACCAGGAGATGGGCAGCAGCATCTTCCTAATAACAACTAAAGAATTAAAATAACTGCGGTTGCTATCCCGCCTACTATTATGGCCATTATGGCAAATATTTCTCCCTATAAAGCAATCTAAGGGGGAGGCCAATGTTCATCAGTGGAGTTTCGATAAGCTGTAAGGTAATTATTACTTACATGTCTATTATTAATATAAACAAGGAAGCTGCCACTCACTCACTATATGGATTCGATACAAATACTCGGTGCTAAGGAGGCAGATTCTAATGAGCAACGAGCTACTCGGAACACGTTTAACCAAAAAATATGGGCTTAGATGGAAAACTGTGCCAGTTGCCGATGGTTCTGCAACTTAGAACGCCGCGGAGGGTAGGGAGAGGGGTGACTCGCAATATCGATTTACCTCACCCCCGCGGCCCAATGGCCACCTCAGTAGAGTTGTGGCCCCGCCAGAATCGTGTAAGATAGGGCAAGTCTACCTCTGGCTGACCTTGCACCTCGGGTATGCTATGTGGGTTCATCTTAGTTCACTACTAAGTCCCGCCGCCACCACAAAGGCGGGAATGATTTCAGAGGTGAGAGACTATAAGTCCTAGATAAACTACTTTCTTATTTATCTTTTCTTCCGATAACAAGTATCTAAGTATTGAAATAATTATTCGATAACAAAAAGTACAGGATGGCTCGTGAGAAATTTTATTTATTCGGATTTACGTTCATTATATGAGTATAAGTACTCAGCCATCAAAAAGGAAGCATATAATGCCCTCAAGACTGAATTTTTGGGCACAGCGATCAGTCTCAACGGAGACTAGCCATCTATGCAGGACAGATTATAATGTACGAGTGTGTGTGCAAGCACAGGTGCACTGTCCTAGTCTTATAAGATGGTAGTCTGCCAAAACCAGAAAGAAATCATAACGTGCCTTCTGATGCATGGGGGTATAACATCGCAAATTTCCTGACTCCAGTTTGCTACTGAGAATTAAAAAAAACCCATAACAGATTTATGTCCCAATCCTGTATTCTAACCACATGCTCAGTAGTCGGTATTCCTGCTTACAACCCAGTTCAAACCCTATGTCGTGTGTTGTGTTGGTTGAATCACGAACAGCCAAGTACTTTTACATGAAGCCCCAGTGTATCACGAATGGTGGACTGATTTAATTTAATTTTTTTAGTTATAGTTAACTGATAACAGAACATAAGCATTGCTTATAAATATTTTACAGGGTATCAAATATCTGGTAGCCTATTGGTACTATAATGAACAGCTAACAGGCAGAAAGCATCCATCTTAGTGTTCAAGGGTGGCAACACATCTGCATTTTGAATCTTAATATCGAGGATAAATCCCGATTTAATAAATAAAGTAAATGGATACTGCGGCCCGCCGCAGTATCCATTTACCATCAGGTAGACTCTGTGCTCGTTTGTCACCTTATTCTAAAAAAAAAAAACCTCCAAGGTTATCAATCAATCCAATTTATTTATTAATTTAGCAGGAGGATAATATGATGATTTTTAATTACAATGACTTCTTTGCTTTTATTCACAGTCTATTTGGTCTATATTATTATCTATTTGGTGTATATTATTATGTATGTGATAATATAAACTGTCATTATCACTTACCAAGTTTTAGTGAATTAAAGACTTTTATATCTGCTTAGGCGGCTTTGACTTTCAGGTTAAAAACAATAATTTATCACAAGAACAATATACTTTCTATACTGATAAATAGTTAATACTTCAATATTAATGAGTTTAAATAAAACGCTGGTCCAAAACGAGTAGAAACTAGGATAAGTAATTTAACAAAAGTCTTCTGAATAATGCAATTCTTATGGGGTATTTGTATAGTTTTCTCATCTGGTTGGGCTGTATAAATATATAATTGAAAATGATTAGCTTACATAAATATCAATAAAATAAAAACATAAAAAATACATAAATATATAAAAACCCAACGAGATGGAAGCCCTCGGCAGGGGAGACCAAACGGCCGAGGGTTAGGGGGAAAGGGAAAGAAACCGGCGGACGATGCGGGCGGTATCGAGGAGCACCGCTTTCTGCATTTGAGCTTGGAGCGATCCGTCATGGAGTCCCAGTCATCTCAGATAACCCGAGAGGCTGACTGGGATTAACCCGTTCGCAGAAACGACCACAGGAATAATTTCGGCCGGCAGACCACCCCACATGTCGGTCACCTCGTGAGCCAGGTCCAGATATTTTGTCAACCTATCTGTTTCGGCTTTCACGAGGTTATCGTCATAAGGAATGGTAATGTCGACCAAAATTATCCTTGACTGTGCCCGGTCTATTAGCACAATAACAGGCTTATTCGCAAGAATAGTCCTGTCTGTGATGATGGCCCGGTCCCAGTAGAGCCTGGCGCGGTCATTTTCGAGCACGGCTTCCGGCAAGTAATTATTAAAATTTTCAGAGTTGTAGAGCCACGCGGCAGCTTTTGCTGTCGCACGGATGGACCGGCTCGAACCGGGGTGGTACCACGACCTCACAGAAAACCAACGTGAAGTAGAGGCTTACCTCTGCGTTTCGCTTGGTGAGTGCAGGTGGCCGGAGGCCCTTTTTACTGGAAATGAGGCATTCCATCCTAGTCCTCACGGGTGACAACGCATCTACATTTTGATTTGTAATAGAGGATAGATGTAGATATCTATGGACCGCAGCAACCACTTACCATCAGGTGGACTGTGTGCCCGTTTGTCACCCTTCTCCTATATATAAAAAAAGAATATGGCAGTTTCCGATCCACGAGACCGTATTTCAGAGCGATTTCCTGGTTTAAAATCCTGGCTACTAGGTTGTGTCTGTGCAAATACAGTTAGAAAGCGCCGAACAACCGGAGATGACATGCCTAAGTGACTCACCGGGATGGCGACAAGCTCGACAGATGTCGATGGCGCCATCCTTTAGGATGTATTTCCAATAATTGTTGGTCTTAATAACCTGATTCTGTATCGCACAGACAAAACCCTCGGTTTCCCCAAAGAAGTCACCGAAACGTAGCCAGTGGAGGGAGGCGACTGTGTCTATGCAAGGCTCATATAGAGCCTTGTAGAACCTCCCGTGGAGCTCCTTCTCCTTCCATACGGTCTCCCGGTCAGAAATGCTCTGTACTGCCGGGTCTTGCCATTGTTCGTTGGCTAAGGATAGAGGAAGTCCTTTATCACAAGAAATAACGTCCCTATAGAATTGATCATCCGCTCTCGTCAGAAAGTAATTACGGATTCTGCACACTTCGCGATTATGCATGGTCAGTGCGCTTAAAAAGCCGCGTCCACCATGCT